TGCCTGGGCACCACAGAGGGGCTGGGGAGCTTTTAGGGACTGAAGGGGAATTTTTAGGGCTATAAAGGGGAGATTTTAGGGATATAAAGGGGAATTATTAGGGATTTAAAGGGGAATTATTAGGGATTTAAAGAGGAATTTTTAGGGATATAAAGGGGAATTTTTGGGGATATAAACAGGAATTTTTAGGGATTTAAAGGAGTATTTTTAGGGATATAAAGGGGAGATTTTAAGGGTTTAAAGGGGAATTTTTAGGGATTTAAAGGGGAATTTTTAGGGCTATAAAGGGGAGATTTTAGGGATATAAAAGGGAATTATTAGGGATATAAAGGGGATTTTTTAGGGATATAAAGGGGAATTTTTAGGGACAGAAACACGCCCAGCCCCAGTGAGGCTGCAGGAACCTGGGGCAGCAGAGAGGGGATTGAGGAGTTTTTAGGGATGTGAAGGGGAATTATTAGGGATTTAAAGGGGAATTTTCAGGGATATAAAAGGGATTTTTTTGGGATTTAAAGGGAAATTATTAGGGCTATAAAGGGGAATTTTTAAGGATTTAAAGGGGAATTTTTAGGGATTTAAAGGGGAATTGTTAGGGATATAAACGGGAATTTTTAGGGATTTAAAGGGGAATTTTTAGGAATTTAAAGGGTAATTTTTAGGGATATAAAAGGGAATTTTTAGGAATTTAAAGGGTAATTTTTAGGGATATAAAGGGGAATTATTAGGGATAGAAACACACCCACCCCTAGTAAGGCTGCAGGAACCTGAAGCAGCAGAGAGGGGATTGAGGAGTTTTTAGGGATGTGAAGGGGAATTTTTAGGGATATAAAAGGGAATTTTTAGGGATATAAGGGGAATTTTTAGGGATATAAAGGGGAGATTTTAAGGGTTTAAAGGGGAATTATTAGGGATTTAAAGAGGAATTTTTAGGGACAGAAACACGCCCAGCCTCAGTGAGGCTGCAGGAACCTGGAGCAGCAGAGAGGGGATTGAGGAGTTTTTAGGGATGTGAAGGGGAATTATTAGGGATTTAAAGGGGAATTTTTAGGGATTTAAACGGGAATTTTTAGGAATTTAAAGGGGAATTTTTAGGGCTATAAAAGCGAGATTTTAGGGATTTAAAGGGGAATTTTTAGGGCTATAAAAGCGAGATTTTAGGGATTTAAAGGGGAATTATTAGGGATATAAAGGGGAATTCTTAGGGATTTAAAGGGGAATTATTAGGGATTTAAAGAGGAATTTTTAGGGATTTAAAGGGGAATTTTAATTCCCAGGCCTGGAGGTTCCAGCTGCTCAGAGGGGGTTTGGAAGGGAGCAGGGACAGGGACAAGGGATGGGGACCCGCTCCGGGGCATGGCCTTCCCGGGGGGCGTGGCCATCCGGGGGGGCGTGGCCCGAGGGGCGTGGCCATTCCGGGGGCCGTGGCCAGCCCGGGGGCGTGGCTCACCTGCATGCAGCAGTTGTCGATGATCATGGTGTCGAATTTGATCTTGGGGTACAGCTCGGCCACCTCCTTGCAGCACTGCAGGAACAGCCCATCGCCCAGCTTCCTGCACGGGAACACCAGCCAGGGTTGGGGACAGCAGGGACATCCCAAAGGCTGCAGGATCCAGCAGGAACTGGGAGCTGGGACACCCTTTGGGGCTCTTCATGCTGCTTTTCCCCCCCTCTCCCTGGTGGGAAGGGGATTTGTCCCCGGTGCTCCCATCAATGATTCCAGAGCTTGGGATTCTGCAGGAATGATGCCACAATCCTTGGGGACAGGGCTGTTATGGGATGGGAATATCTGGGCACTGATTTCTCAATAAATGTGAGAAATAAATGTGCCACCCTGCTCACTGCTGGCTGGGAGCAGAGTGAGGGAAAATCCTCAATCCCAGGGAAATCCTCATCTCCCTCACTCCAATCCTCCATGTCCAGCCTGGCCTTGGGCACTGCCAGGGATCCACGGGTGTGCTCCTGTCCCAAAATATTCCCAGATTCCAGGCAGGACCTGAGGGTGCTGAGCAGGGAATCATGGAGAGACCTTGGAGCTCATCCCATCCCACCCAGGGACACCTCCCACCATCCCTGGTGGATCCAGATCCATCCAGCCTGGCCTTGGGCACTGCCAGGGATACAGGGCTTGGGAATTTTCTGGGAATTCCATTCCAGCCAGGAATCCCTTGCCAGGATCCCAGCCCAATCTCCCCTTTCCCAGTGGGAGCCATTCCCTGGCTCCTGTCCCTGCAGGCCTTGTCCCCAGTCCCTCTCCAGCTCTCCTGGAGCC